GATCTATGCTATAATCGCACTTATTACATCTCTCGGTCAGCCCATATTTCATAGATCGACTACTATGAGTTCTAATTGAGCGCTTGTCTCATATGGTTTCAACCGAGGAATGTGCACCCTTAGCTAGGAAACAGCGCGAGCATTCCGTGGACCACTCCGTGATGTCGGCCTCTATCCCTTCCCAGAACACTATCTTCTTGGGTTGACGGTATAGTTTAAATCTATTAAGGTGCCTTGCCATCATTCCTTGGTGTGCTTTTTTGAATGATGGTATCCCTTTTTATTTCGGTACGATTCTTACCAGCGAGTGTCCGCACATCATCTTCAGGCACACCAAGGTCAACTGCTCTGAATCTCCGTGCCGTCATTGGACGTCTTTGAGGTCTCGCCTTCTGCATAACGTCACTAGCAAATTGTGAGTAATCGGGATGTTCCTTCACCGGTTCGGACCCCATGTAGCGGGTGTCGGTCTCCCCGCATGGTGCTAAAAATGATCCGAATAACAGAATAATTTATAACGACTGACCTCAAAACTGTAATTAAACAAACACGTAGTTAGCAACGACTAGAACAGAACGGATACACGAATATAAAACAAAGAAGTGAAAATGTTCCCCGTCCTTCCTATATGCCCGGAAGTCTCGATGTGGAGTCCTTGGACAGTGAGCGTCCTGGGGTGGTGAGCGGCGGTGATGGATGAATGATTGAGCCTGGGCCCACTTCTGGGCCCGAAGTGGGTTTTTTTCTCCGCCAGTGACGGTTTTCGTGGCGGGGCGTTGTATACCGTAACTTCGTGTTGGAGCGCAGTTTTGTCTCCTTGCGTCCGCGCCTTCATAATTGATCGCGTAACCGCGATATTCCCCGGCGCACGAAAGAAGGATCCCGGCGCATATGAAATGATTCTCCGGCTCATGCGAAAGGCTAAAGGGTTCTCCGGCGCACAAATAGACTGAAGGATCCTCTGGCACGTACGAAGGCTAAAGGAATGTCCAGCGTATATAAAAAAAAACGTGAAAGGATTCTCTGGCGCATATAAATAGAGAGAGAGAGAGAGAGAGAGAAGTTAACGCAATTTTGATTGACTCCTTATAACTATTTTTTTAATTGGTGAAATTACTGTTGTCGTTTCTTGACGCAATATAAAAACCTTCTTTTTCTGTAGGCCATATTCGGATAACCGTTGCTGGTCATCGGTTTCTGACGGGATGCAATGGCACGCCGACGGCGATAGCTCGCTGGACTCAAAGCTCTCAACAGTTAAATATGGCCGAAGCTCTTCCTTCGCCTGTTGCACTCTGCTCTGTTTCTCTTCGTTATATTCTGGTAATGAGCAAATCGCTGTGTGATGGTCACGCGATTTGCAGTGGTGGCATCTAGTGGAATATTTACGACATGTGGAGCGGCCGCCAAGACTGTATCACTCCAGGCATCTTTCGCATCTTCCTTTGCTATCCGGCCTCCCAAAATAAGACGCATACTGATCGAAGTCGTGTCGGACGGGCACGGCTCGGCTGACTCAAACTCGGTCCTATACAGAATCGTCCGAATCTTATTATGGGCGCATTTTAACTGTATTTCGTTCTTCAGGTCTAATGTCTTAGCGCCTGACTCCGGCCGGGTCTTTGTCTTGATCGTCTGGCCAGTCAGCCTCGCTTTGCTCTAATCTCTCTCATTTCACTTCGTTGTCGGTCGCGGATTTCTTGCCGTGGCATGTACGAGGGCATTATCTTCCTTAATTCTCTTTCACACCGGGCCTGCGCAGTGGGATATCTGTGCATAGTGTCTTCCTCGCGTTGTGCGATGCCTTCGCTTCGAGCTGACAAGCGTATATCGTTGAGTGTAGCTTGAAGGGTAGTCAGACTTTTCAGCTTATCGGCTGTTATGCGCTCGATATCTTCATGTCGCGTCGGAATTTCTTTTCCATCTTCTGTCTTGATTCACAGAATGAATGAGAATTTCTCGAAAATGTGACTGCGTACAATCAAAATGAGTCACATTGCATGGATCAGTCTTTAAAATCAGATTTCTCTGAGGAAAGCAACTGGGCTCGAACGCAGAAATGAAGTAATTATGTATGAGTGAGCCTTCAAAAATCAGACTTTTGCGAGGAATCAAATGTGCACTTAAATTGAACAAAGGTTATGAATTCTTCTCTACAAACGGGCTATTCTTCACAAGCAAGCTGAAAAATTGGCCAACGACGTGTGAAACGGCTTGTATAACGGTGTTCTCTTCAGTTGGAGACTGCGCGCAACAAAATGAACTAGTAGTGCGTTAATTCAGAACACAACCAAAATTTCTCAAAGGGGTGAAGGCGCACACTCAAAATTCAGCAAATAAACACCAATGTGTAATTTATCGTCCAATTGTCGGTGTTGTGGCTGCCGGAGTCGTCCAGAGAATATTTATTAGGGAACAGCAGAAGAATAGAGAGAAGAATGAGTACAATACAAATGTGGCCCTTTTATAGGCCCAAGGCGCTTTCTAGAAAATGGCGGGCCGCTTCTTGAGCAGGTCACAGATCGTTGTGGGTGATCTGCGACCAACCCCAACAGTCGGAAACGTAGTCCAAATCGTACCTGCATACCAGCTTTGAATTGCCGATGCACCATAAAGAAGGTCGCACAGCTCAGCTGTGCACAGACAGACAAAATGATTTATCTCCAAATCCAACGCTTGTCCTCGATGTTTGGCAATTAAACAAACACGTAGTTAGCAACGACTAGAACAGAACGGATATACGAATATAAAACAAAGAAGTGAAACGTGTCCCCCGTCCTTCCTATATGCCCGGAGTCTCGATGTGGAGTCCTTGGACAGTGAGCGTCCTGGGGTGGTGAGCGGCGGCGATGGATGAATGATTCGGCGATTTATGGGCCTGGGCTGGAGCCATTTTTATGTCCTTGCGTCTGCGCCTTCATAATTGATCGCGTAGCCGCGATAGGCGATGCGGATAAAGTGTAGGGAAGGCTGGTTGGCTTTGAAGACATTGACTGAAACGAACTCGATCACCCTACTGCTAGCTGCTTTTGCAGGCGACTTTCCGCTGCGCCCGCCTGAAGTATAGCCTATAGCAGATCAGTAGATGGTGATCAAAGTATTGAACTTAGAAACTCTCGCTTTCAACAATTTCACCTTTTCTGGCAGGCAGCTAGAGCTCGGGCAACAAGTCACTGACCCACTGCAGAGAGAGAGTGCTTGACAGTACACACGAGTAATGGTGATATCATCCCTTTATTTCATCAGGAAATCAAAACGATCACCTATCAACACTCCCATTCGTGTCAATCTTCGCTCTGGGTAGTCGCCTCTTGCATACCAACACCTTAGCAAATATACAGACCTATGAGAACTCTAAAAGCTTCGTGTAATTCCTCTGGGTCCATCAGAGGAGCACTAAATATTTAGATCTCTGGATGCTTTCATTTGGGATTCTACTCGACTGGAATTTGAAGCAGCTAGACACTGCGTGTTGCGAACAAGGTGTGTGCATTCCCATTCCTTTTTTTACAACTTTTTTCAAACCGTGACATCTCAGAGGTGCGTTGTTTGGGCGCAGTGCCTATGGAGTTGGATTGCAAAAGAACAGTCCATGGACGCCACACATAACATCTGCCATTCTGAGGATGGCTGAGAGTGAGTCTGTTAGAATTGTGATTGGTGAACCCTGAAAAGCTCTGACCATCAAAACCAGGGCACATCATCGCGCAGAAATCCCTTGCCAAATCTTTCTCGGCTCCGCGAAAAACCTTGCCAGCGAGAGGACGAGTCGCGTGCTTACATAGCGATAGCGCGTCTAAAAGGAAGCAAAAATCATCGCTGGCGCTGTTATGCGGCTGTATTAAGACAATGAGCATTCTGGCTCTTAGCCGGTGAATAGTAAATGATAAAGGGGGGACAAGCAGTAATGAATGATAGCTGGTCTACAGCAGTAGAACGGAAGGCAGCTGTAAAGCATATCTAAAGAGCTGGCGAAGCAATGCCTAATGCCGATTCCACTGTGATTAACATCCTTCAAATCGCAGTGATGGCAGCGCCTTTCAGTGTCCAGTCCTTCACCGCAACATCTCTCGGCACGCACCGCATGTACTTCAACAGCCAGTTTTTTCTTTCCCTCCCCTGAGGCTAACCCACGTCTGACCCTCCTCCACCCCCGAATTTTTGTCCTACTTCGATGCAACCCTATCCGAATTCACCTCCCTTCTCGCAGGCAGGCAATATTTTGCGGTGGCGGTGAGTGATACTTTAACCGCGCCCCACTTAAAAGGGTCTCGGTACGACCCCCTCCCCTCACCCTCCTCCACCCGAAACCTACACAAGGATTTCCTTTGAGCTAGGGGGGTACATAGCCATTGTCAAACGGGGAAGATTTCTTGGATTTTCTCCAACTCCCTTCCCACTTTTTTCGAAGCCGGAGAATTTCCCTATTTTTGCAAAAAAATTTGCTGTCGAGCGCGGGGGGGGGTTACATGGGGTCGTATAGTGCACATGAAACAGGAAAAATTACGGGAAAAGTCAACATCGAGAAAAGTTTTCTCCCAACGCCGCAAATTTTCTCTCTAAAGCACATATGACCCCCCCCCTTCCCACCTAAAGAAACTACCTCAATATGTTTTTTAAGCTGTTTTGTTATGATAACTGCTGTTTAACGCCGCAGTACGCGTTCCGAATGTTATCACAAGAATGCTGAGTTGTGGGCAAAAGTCGTGCCCCAGGCGGGAGTCGAACCCGCACCTCACGCTTTCCGGGCGAGTGCGCTATCCGTTACGCCACCAGGGCCGCTTTTACCCTCTCAGCTTAACGGCTTTTATGCCGTAGCCTTACAGCACCCGCCTGGTGCACGAATTTGCCCATAACTCAGCATTCTTGTGATGAACAAATTTTTTCACACAACGATGCTGTACCTCTGGTGGGGGGGAGGTTATGTGGGTTTCGCAAAGAGTGGGAATTCAAGAATCGGAATGAATTTCTAATTTGCACATCGATGCGTCGTGATTAGAATGCTCCGTAACTCGTTCAAAAAAAATTCATGGGAAGCCGTTGAAAAGTGCTCTATCCTAGGCGGAGTGATGGAGAATTTGGACTCCAAGTGGATCGACAATCGGGAGTCAAAATGCGTAGCTGAAGTTCATAAATCTCCTGCGCGGCTCAGTCTCTGGAACATGCGAGTAAGCTTTCGGTCTTTCGCGTCACCTATATGCACTCCTTAATAACGGGAATGCTCATGTGAACGGTGTCTTGTTGCGAAAATATCCTAGTGTTGACTGTTTCAGGATGTATTTATCCTTGTCACTGGCGGCGTGGCAGCTGGAGCACTCTTCAGCACTATCGAAGTGACCTACGGTAGGAGAAAAGCGAGAAGGGGGTGAGTGGCCTTGCTTTTTTTCCCTTTAAGCTGTAATATCAAGAGACCACTCAGACGTGAACGAGCACTCGCTGCGCGATATGGGGAGAAGTGGCGGAATTTGGCGTCAGGTGGGCTTCGAACGAACAGGTACAACCTTTCACGACCGGTGATCAGACGAGGATTAGGTGGTCTAGAGCCATGCTCATTAGCAGTGAGTTGTTTCCAATATTTACATAGCTAAGCACATCGCTGTCAAAAAGGACCTACAGTAGCTTGAACACTGCATATTAGGCCATCTCATTCGAAGACTTGGGAGGTTTTATTCATACGAAACGAAGAGAACAACAGATAAGAAAGCAATGTCCCGGCTTCAAGTTGATAGATTCCCTTTCATATTGACCCGCTCCCAATGTCGACGGACGGTTCAGACCTTCGCGCCGTATAGCGCCTAAGTTTTTTCAACAACTGCTAATAAGATTCTGTGGGTGCCAGTTTTGGTGATCGAAAAATTATCGTAGTGCTTGCCTTCGGACTGTGCCTTCTACTGAATAGAGTGGTTGAATTCGCACGGCTGTAGGTCGGGCGAATAAGCGACTGAACCCAGTCCTCAGTATGTGTTCGTCCACTGCCCAATAATATGGTTACTCGAGCTCTTTGACTAGAATGGTATTCTCCTAGTAGCTGTGAGATACCAGCGATTTGTCGATCTGATTGTCGAAGAACAGACAATATACACCGACAGTAATGGTTTTATTCCCTGTATACATAGTGTTGCTCGAAAGCCACTGCGCAGAAATCTATTATCATTATGGTTATCCGCTTGGGCCCCTCATGACGGAACTCGGAAGGCTCACCTACATTCATAGGAGCTTAACGCTTGTGAGTTTGACCTTGGAGTTCAAGACCGCTGATGTTTCATCTAGGGCCACGGTGCTTTCTCACAGTCGTGAATGACGTCATAGGCGATGGACATCGCTGCTTAGGCATAGAATCGGTACAGCGTTCGTGCTCCTGCAACGAAATAAGGTACCGAAACACGCGCATTCTTGACCATCCTCAAGTCACGGTTGCAGCATGAGCATGAGTTCCGACGGTAAGCTCTACAACGGTCATCTGACATTGAGCGCTTGACATCATCCCCACTTTTCTTGCACAGAATGAACATTATGGGTCCCTCGTCGACCACAACTTTTTTGTTCTTCCTTCTTTGGACTTCTGAGCAAAATTTTCCACTTTTCGTTCCCTGGACACCATTATACGCACTGGTCCGGCACAGGACGAATATTAGCAGGGCATTCCCACTGTATGGAGTCTGATTCCATGATCCGGCGCTAATTTTGACCAGTAGGGGTTCTTCCCAATTCCTCAAGATTTTCTTCTGTGGCTAGGCTAGCCAAATTTCTCATATAAATTTGAACATACCAGCTTCTCAAACGATATAGAAACCCGCAGCCATAGCCCCCTTGTTTTCCTGCCATTCTCCCACATGTCTCCACGTCTTTGAATGAGATGACCCAATAGGAAGGATCATGACTTAAAGGCAGTTGGCACGATAAATCCTCTAAAAACGAGTAGGATTGATATGAGTGGCAGGGCGGATTTCCGCGACCCTGAGTAGGCGCTGCATAGCGGTTTTTCCGAGGGAGGCACCCTTATAAGGGTCCTATCAAGCTAAAACATTCCGACTTAAGACTGAGACGCCCGCCCGCCCAGAAATGGACGACCTTACCAGATGCACGTTTTGCTTCATTTGCTGAGTAAAACATAAAGCGAAGGGATAGCGCCCTGCTAGCATTTTAGGCTGAGCACCAAAATATCGTGCCAACTGCATTTAAACGGTGCAATTCTAGACAAGAACTTACTGAAGCTTGCTTTCGTTCCTCGACACCTGCAGAGTTGGCATAAGCTAATATTTGTCATTTTGTAGCCTTGGGCATTCTGAAGGTCCAGCAGAAATGTGAACGTTTTTCATTACTGGTGCCCTATCTTTTTTCTTTCACTTGTTTTTTTCATGAAATCATTACCACCAGAGGCGAATCTTCTAGGACGTCCGGCAGCGTGAGCAGAACCGATCTAAGCAGAAGCCCGTAAACGAAGCGTTGATTCGACCCCCGCCTTTTGTGCCAGATTTAAACTTCGGTCGACACTCAGTGGTTCTATTCTGCAGTCGATGTCGTGTGAGTTTTCTTCTCATGAGTCTGCCGCAATTTACTCGTAACCAGAAGTTCCAATTTGGACAATCTCACAGAGGGATCTCGACGACGAATCAGTGTCCAAGACCTCAGGAACCCTAGAAACTGAGCGAAAGTACAATTTCGAAGTATGTATTTGCTCAAAAGGCATATCTTTTTCTTGCAGTACGGCGACGGGGGAAGGGGCATCCGCTCCTTCACTGGTTTCGCTTTACAAGTTTTTTTTTCTGATGAAACCTGTTAACTTTTGTAAGCTCATGAAAAAGCTCATAAAATGAACTTCATCATGAACTCACAAGGGTTCAACTCAACTCACTCAAGAGTTGAGAGCAGTAGCTACGAACTTTGGTTGTATCAATTCGTGGCTTAACAACATTCCACAGGTCTCCATTTCATGGCGTAATACGTCTGTGGAAGTAGCACACGTGCAAAAGATCCCTTCCCACCCCCCCCCCCCCACCCGCTGAAGTGTGCCACCGCCGAGAACTCCATAAGAGGGATTTCGAATAACGTGTATATATCTTAGGGAAACTGACATGATTCAGTTCGAAGGTGTTCATGCGTTTGCTTCAGTTTAGGCGTGAAAAGTGAAGTGCTTGCAACAAAGAAGTTGTTCACTCGCGCAAACCCATTAAACACTGAAATGCCCACAGTTCATTCTTCTTTTCGCCAGAATCAGTTTGCCATCAGTTTAACCGCTGCGTCAAGTGAATCTCTTCCATGACGACGTAAATACAGTGGGAGGAGGCTGCTCATGAAGGGTGTATCTAAAACCTGTTTTGCACAGATGGTGAGGTAGGAAGACGCTCTGAACATTTCCAAAACTGCTTTCAATACTTGTATTAGGTTGTTCGAAAAGTCCTGCGACACTTTGATTGAATTGTTCTAGAAAAAGACCAAAAATCATTTTGGATGTTTTTATCCCTGATTAGTTACTGTCCTCTGGGGTTTCTGCACATGGGTATATCATGACTTTGTGGAAGTTTTCAAAGCTTAAAAGTCCCTCAGAGATCGAGGTACTTTTCGACCTATCCCATATTATGAGTTCCTGTAGGGCCACTCCGCCGTAGTCGAGGAAGCTAACACTTACGTTGTCTTGAGGAAGGATATCGCTTGCCATGGCAGAGGGTAGCTTTTGCATCAGCGCTTCCAGGCTGGACTTATTTAACTCGTAGTTAGGCAATGTATAGGTCGCCCACCAGCACAGAATGACGGCCCTTTACTCAAGCTTCTTGAGGCGCAGCCGAACGTAACCACCAGTAAGTTGGCAACCTCTCTAGGCTCCACCTGACTGACAACTGCCATGCTTCTCCGCAATCTCGGTTATCGGAAAAAATTTTTGTGAAGGATGCCTCATGAGTTGGACCCGTCTGACAAGTCATACCGAATGACCGTGACTGAGTTTTCTTTTCCTTGTACACAGCGAAAGAACTTTTGTGAGATCTTGTGGTTGGTAGCGAGTGTTGGAGTCCTTGCGTACATCATGCACATGTCCCTCGCAGGATCTCTCAAACAGAAAAGTAGATTGCTTAGCCAAAAGCAGATGTGCATGGGATAAAGATTTCAGTGTGTTATTGGTGGGACTTCAAAGCGGTATCACTGGATACTAGCACCGTTGTAAGGACCACAGTCCACCTTAATCGACTTCAAAATATGGATGACGTCACGCTTGAATTCATTCAGAAATACTCAATTTTTCTCTACTACTCGGCAATGCGAAGACCGCATGTGGGGATCAGGCTACGCCAAAAGATCATGGATTTCGATCAGAGAATGCGACCGTACCCAGGTTATTTAACAAAGTTAGCAGCCTCTAATTACCACCTCCTTTGGTCCCTATCGCATCCTTTAAAAAGCAAAAATTCCGAAAATCGACCTCAACTCGAGAATGAGGTCCACCTCTTCTTTTTATCATAGTTGCCGTAGTTCTATGAGAATGGAAATGAGAAGCTGTGCAAAAGAAGGGCACTAGTCCTAGTCATCAACTGCGGTTACCTTGTAGATTGGAGATGTCTTTTAGTGACAGAAAATTTAGTCCGAAAAATTTGGTCAAAGTGTCGCACTACTTTTCGAACAACCCAATATTTTGTAGCTACATTTGGTGCATTACAAGGACGATTGTCTAATCGTGAGCGCGGCAGAACACAGTTACAGTCGCTATCCGGTCAATTGATTAGCTAACCGAAGGGTCGCGACGCGCCTACGGCGCAGCACCAGTAAGTTGGCAACCTCTCTAGGCTCCACCTGACTGACAACTGCCATGCTTCTCCGCAATCTCGGTTATCGGAAAAAATTTTTGTGAAGGATGCCTCATGAGTTGGACCCGTCTGACAAGTCATACCGAATGACCGTGACTGAGTTTTCTTTTCCTTGTACACAGCGAAAGAACTTTTGTGAGATCTTGTGGTTGGTAGCGAGTGTTGGAGTCCTTTCGACATTTTCCATTTAGCGATTTCACCCTGATTTCCACAGTTCTTCGCTGCTTTTTTAGAGTTAGTTGCTCCTTGTCTTCACAAGGAAAATTATGATCAAGATTTCTCTAATTTTTGCGAACAATTAAGAAAAAAATGGAAAGTACAGTGAAATTAGAGAGAAAATGGCTAAACCAGGCTGGAACACAGTTGACCGCTGCGGCTGGCGAGCCGCAGCCACGTCGCGACCCTTTGGCCGCCTAATCAACTGTCTGGACGACGACTGTGTTTCAAATCGATTCGTTCCAAACAGGAAGCAATGCTTGAACCGAACTGTTTTTATGTCTATTCTATATCTGAGCGTCGAGGGGAGGGGGGAAGAGGAGTGTGCTTGGATTTACGGGAATGTGGAAGTAGCAGACACTCGCCGCCTGAGCAAGAAAGTGTGCGAAGAAAAAGGCATATTTGGCGCAAGAAAACGTCGGTAAACCTCTAATCGCTCCCTGCTTGATCCACCAGCAGAGTCGAGCACCACGCTCAGGAAATTCGGCCACTCGCTACGACCCTTCTCCTCCCCAGAAACTAGGAAGCCATTACGACCTCTTTATTTTTTGCTAAATAAAAAGAGAATAAAACAGCAATCACACTTCAAAAGGGGACACTGTAGTTGCCTTCTTTCCTGCTGCGTTGCCGGTCGGCTTTTGGAGCGCGTTAATCCACTGGTTATTACCCGGGAGCTTTTTGAAAGGTTGTAATTTCCTTCAGATGCAGCGTTTTGCAAAGCGACAAAGGTTATTCGTGATCTGCTCGGAACTTCCACTTGAAGGTACTTAAATGATCCCGTTACCGAAGCTCTTCGCTTCAAAATTAACGACCGAAAAACTTCTCTTGCGGAGTAAGAGTTTCCTTTTTTCACGGCTCATAACTTCGGCTTGCAGGGCCGAGAGCAAAACGAAAACAAGTTCTGAGGAGTAGAAGATTTCGCCTGCTAAAAATCCCAAAATGTTGTACAAAATTCATTAATTCAACTTAGTCATCCGTTATAGGGCTTTTCTTGTCGAATTCAGGATTGAAAATCTTTTGAACACAGAGTTTCGACCTTTCAGAGACCATGAATTTTGACACAACTCTTTTCAGCGTTTTTAAACCCTGTTCTACACTTCTGTTGGCTTTCTGAATCCTCCAAATTAAGACCCATAGCAAAAATTACGAATCATTAATATCTCGATGATTCTTCAACGAATATTGGACCATAGCCTGCAGCAGACAAAGCGCAGCACCACCCTTGTCCATAAGGACTGGGTCCGTGAGTAGTAGTTCTTCAGCGCGGATATGCGGAGACGGTGAAAACTCAAATAAAATTTCTAGATGGCAATGAAAGCGGCAGCTATACCAAACCACCTTAAGTATTTTTTCATATTCTCCGCAGAGAGTGCTGAGTCTTCAGCCGAGGCCAACTTTTTCCTTAAATAAAGTCTGTTGTTTTCCAAATAAATTTCTTCAGAACCTGGTGGAAACGGAAGTGCACCGCGAAAGTGGCCTATTCGCGTACGTGTGGTGTGTGGTGTTCGCATTGCTGTTCCTATGGCCATGTTCGCCTTTGCCGTGCTTCATGGAGGCCTTCTCAGACTTTGTGCATATCTGCCCAGTCTGCTCCCACAAAATCGGGCGTTATCGGCGATGTCGACGAGCACAATTTTATGTATAGGTTTATAGCATTCATAAATATTTTATTGAATTCTTTCATGCTAGATAATTTCAAACATATCATCACGTTTCTTTTTGTCGATATGCAGTCCATAAAATGAGAACAGCATACGACGCATAACACAAAAGTATTACGGCTGACACGGAAAGTACAAATAGGGCCGAGAAGAAGTAGAGACCCTGTAGGGTGGAGACGAATGTTGTCAGTCTTCCGCTGTCCTGAACAATAATGCCCATCGGGAAGGAGACGATGCCTGACGGATAGCAAAGACTCACATTCATTTTGCGCCTTAGCAGCTCTCTGGAGATTTGGCAGTGGGACGGCCTTTGTCATCCATTGGTCATTTGTCTTCTGCAATATGCCAAATAGCCAAATAGATAGCAAGCAAGACCCGATACGTAGAAACTACGAGAACTAAAGTTATGCAGGATTTCATATAAAATTGTCTGGAAAGTAATGGGTACCTCCCTAGGAGACACAGATCACTTCAATGGAAGAGATAAGTGGATACCCAGACCTGGCTTATGATAGAAAAAAGCCTCCTAATAGGACCTGTGCAACATCTCTGCCTTATTTCTGCTACGATAATGCGCATTGAGCTATAAATTACTAAGAGTTCCGACTGAGATGTGACACGTGGATATCGCAAATTTGTTGGAGAAATCGTAAAATTCAATGGCTATAGAGGCTCCTGAGCGCCAGTGACCCGCCTTGCGCTGCTGGTGTTTGACGTTTGCTCTGGCGTGATCCCTCGTCCGGATCTCATTGAGTCTTTGCCCATAACTTGGAATGAGCAGGCGGGCTCACTAGCACTCAGGAAGAGCCTCTATAGCCATTGATTTTTAGGATTTCTCTGACAGTTGCGATGACCAGCTCAAGGGGCATTATCGTAGTAGAAATAATGTCAAGGTGAGTTGCTATAGGTCCCACTAGGAGGATTTCTGGTTGCTCTATTAGGTGCCGAGACCTTATTCAAAGGCTTCGGTTTTGGAGGATACAGCTGTTCCTCCCCGAATAAGTCAAGAAGCGCACAGTCTTTTTTTTTACCAGGCTGCGTACGATGTTATCGACGAAATGTGTTTTCGAAATAAAGGCTGCGTTTACACTTTGCGGCAGCGTAGCGTAGCGTAGCGCTTCCAGCGTACGCCAGCGGCAGTGCCGGGGAGAGGATGCATATCGATCTAGCGTTCTAGCGTACGCTAGCGTCACGCCAGCGTTTCTCCAGCGTTTCACCAGCGTTTTGCTAGCGTTTGCAGCGGCAGGGGAGTAGAGACTATGGGAGAGCTGGAAACACATCGATTGCGCGTCTCTCACTCGCCCTCAGTCTCTACAATACACATCGATTGCGCGTCTCTTACGGCCACATAGTCTCTACTCCCCTGCCGCTGCAAACGCTAGCAAAACGCTGGCGAAACGCTGGTGACGCTGGGAACGCTAGATCGATATGCATCCTCTCCCC